GTTTTCCGACAATAATACATAATTCGCGATAAAACGAGTGAAAAGGATCACTGATTGATCCTGTGATCCCTGGGCGCCCTTCAGCATCAATTTCAAGTACCAGCAAGTGCCTACCAGCCTGCCAGACTGCTTCGACCATCATCCAGATCCACGAGGTAAGACGCCAAGGTGAATCGTGCTCCGATTTATTTAAATTAATGATTAGCCAATTTTGAACTAGCGAATATCCTATTTTGGACTCAACTGTCCGAAACACAAGGGAAAAAAGTAGTAATTTTTGCTGCAGTTTGTGTGAGCTAAAATCCAATATTATTCCCGTGTATAATACACTATTTTTTTCTGTGACAGAAGAAAGGATGAATCAATATTGAGAAGATATTACATTATTTTGAAATCTGAAAATTATCGACGTGAAATTTCAAGTTTTCAACAGTAGGGACACCTGCATTGTAGGCATCTTTATCATTCTTCTGAAGTAATCAAATATCTGATGTCATTTCTGTCAGTCTAATTCTGTGATTTGATTTCAAAAAATTGTGAATTTAGTGGTTGTTTAGTAATATACGTAACCGCGAAGTCGAATGGAAGATAAAAGGGCTTGCAGTTCTTTCTCGGAGACGGTATTATTGATTCTCACTTTTTTCCCACGGAAAAAAGAAATTTACGAAAAGTGACATTTCATAACCTGCCAACAGAGATGAAATGCCAAACTCTTTTCCCGTCACAGAAAAATAACTATTTTCCGAGCTATTTTCGGATAGTGTTGGTAATTTTGTCCACCACTAGCTATAGAACCTATTTACTTATTTTGAAGGTGTAAAGTGTGTTTTTACTACCAAGATAGTTTTTGTCATTGTCAACAGAGATGAAATGCCAAACTTTTTTCCCGTCACAGAAAAAACTATTTTTTTCTATTACAGGAAAAAGTACGAATCAATATTTATATATTTATACAGAGTTAATCAAATGTATGGAACCATCCATATATCTCAGTTAAATTTTTCTGGATTTTAATATATGGTGAATTGGGAACGTGACGTTTTCAGTTTTTCCGGAATTATTATCAACTTCCTTATTTCAAATAGAACACCCTATATATTTTTATACCATTTGATAGATACATTTTTAACGAGTTCACTGATATACTATTTTATCTGAAAAAAACTCGCAAATTATTCCTGAATAATTAAAAGCTGGTTTAACAAGGAGTCTGATGAGAAATGTGGTACTTATGTGGTTATCATCAGACAATTCTGTTTGAATGTCAATAATTTTCTCAAATGAAGAATATATCATTTGTGAAACAACAAATCTTTGTCAATAATAATAATGTTACTCTAGGAAAGAGACCGGATTGAGATATTGATGATGATTGGATTCGGAGATAGAAGAAGAACTCACAAAGAAGTTTCAGATCTCTTCAATACGAGTCACCCAGATCGAGAACCAATATCACGAAGTACAGTATCCAAAACTTTGAAATGATTCGAGCATACTGTGAATGTGAAGAATATTAGAGAAACAGCAACCACATACTTCTACAACCCAATTTAGCTTAGATCATGGAATAAGACAAATATCAGGAGAACATTGGAGTCACTGGATGGTAATAGTTAGATAAGACTTCGGGCACAGCTGAACTTCTGACCTTTTCTATTTTCTATATTCAATGGTTTAAGTGAATGAAAGAATGAGACATACATTCTGCTCTTTGTCTTTTCAATTTCACTAGTAGCGCCTGTAGTATCCTCTGTATAATGATGTTGAGATATCGGGTTGGCATATTTCATGAATGTTGTTGATGAGAAATGTAACGTTTGTTTTATTATGTCTTGTCATGTACATTTTCATATTTTCATGAATAAATAGTATTTCTCCCATTCAGCCACATTATTACACGACTGATTGTCAGATAAGATTTTAGAGATAAGATTTTCTGCGAAATCAATCATTTATGAAAAATAGAAATAGGGTATAAATGCCCACTTCAATTTATATAGCGATAAACTTCTCGCAGAACAATAGTTATGAAAATGAAGAGAATTCATGTAACAACATTTTAATATGACAAAATACACACATATGGATATACTCATAGCTAGTTCCTCATTGTATGTCAGACTGTACCCGAGTGATAAAGTTTAAAATATTGAGATTGTTTTGATTTTCCATCTTTTGCTGCATTCACTCACCACTGATAAATTTTGAATTTGGTCGGTATTGAAAACGCCATTCAATGATATTATATCACGTTGCAATTTACTTGATTTCCTCAGTTTCGTTCTCAAATTTTCAATTTCATTACGTAGTTTTGAAATCAATTCCTCTTTCTCTGCTGTTATAAGAAGTGAATTTCAATGTTTGTAGTCACTTCACAAATTTTGCTTGTCTTCAAATTAATTTTTCATCCAGGCCGTTTATTCATACATTCCTTCCATAAGAGTATTGGGTTGATATTTCCTTTGGCGAATTAAACAAATGGCATCCATTCTCTTCCGAATTCCCACAATTCATTACACAGCAGGACATTTGCATCTATGCCTTTTTCTCAATAGTTTATGAAATCATATTTCAATTCAGATGTACATAATATTTTGAATTGACTTGGCCGTTACTTGATGGATTGGATCCTTATTTCTATTTCACATCTATGACTATGATTGATTTGACAGAAAATCTAACCTATAGAATCGTATTTGACAATTAGGCGCTACTATGGGAATTGAAAAGACCAAGAGCAGAATATATCTCTTATTCTTTTATTCACTCAAACCATTGTAATATAGAAAATAGCAAAGGACAGAAGTTCAGCTGTGTCCGAACTCATATAACGAATACCATCCTGTGACTCTAGTTATTAGTGAGCAATAACAATAACTCTAGCAACCGGTATTCCGAAGTAAACCCAGGGGTAAGTAAAACCTACATTCTCTTGGCCCCTAACCACTGGTTTACTGTAGGCACCTCCCTTGCTTTTCTTCACTGTCACTACCTAGCCGTCCTCACGAACCCAGTTTGTAGGAGTAGGTGAAGTAGATAGCCTTCATAAAAAATCTGGGAAACAGTCCTCTGGGACTCAGAAACGTCATTGTTCAGCGCAGATTATATCCAAGGTGGGTCTGTGTTTACTGAGTGTGAACGGAGACTTGATACTAGCAAGTCATGATCACTCCGTAAATATAACACAATTCAAGAAAGTGAGCAGTAGAATAACTTCTAAGATGAAATCGACGATATTTTGTAAAGGGTCCAAGGAGTTGTTATTGTTCTGATTTTCAATAGTTAACAATTCTACAGTTTGTGATCTGATGAACATTCAATAATTTGGAGGGCGACGCTGATTTTATTCACATTTGACACCGTACACCTTTCTAGTCACCCACGACTGTCTTAGTTAAGGATGAAACTGTAAATTCCTTTGGGTATGCAGTCAAAGTAAAACAAAGTGTACTCTTGTTTCTGTTCAAGCTTTCGAGTCTTTATTGACTCTTCATCAGGAACTCTATGAAACATTAAAATTGGTATGAAAATTCAATCTTTGTTATTTATTACTGAACAGTTACGCAAAATGAGGTTTTGTTGAACCTGACGATCGAACCATGATATTATGATTATTTGTTCCTTTTTGGATATTTGATCCAAACCAACTACTTGAGAGATTGCTTACAACAAGAGGATCATCACACTCCTTATATTAATTATATCTAATGGAAATGTTACTAGAAAGCAACAAGGATATTTTTTTGAATGATTTTTTTGTCAACCTGAGTAGGTTTTATTATTTTCTTCACACAAAAGATAATCATTCCATTTTACTCTTTCTTTTTATGGTGACTCATTATGACTGTATAGTCAAAGGCAATCTGCTATAAAAAATTTGAACAATTTATTTATTAGCACAAATTACGCATTAAAATTTAGAAAGACGATGAATTACCTAGATAGGATTTAATGCATTTGATTTTTGCCTTTTGTACATGATATCTATTACGTAGTTCGTAAGGACATTGTTGGTACATGGAGACTCCAACGGAAATATTTTCGTTATTGTGAAGCTTATTTTCAATGGGACAACCTGTATTTTACAACGTTTTTGAATTCCTTTCATGATCCTGATTTAAATTCATACATTATACACTATACCTGAAAATGAACTGTTTATAATTATTGGAGTTTTTCTATTAAAAGTAATAAATGCAGCTTATCGAACATACTCAATTTTTATGTGAATTGCAATTTTTAATGATATGCAGTGATCAAATCACTGAATAATTTACAGGGTACGCAGAACAGTGGATCTAAAAAGTGAATGGGAAACATTGGAAATCTCATTTGTTAAATACTGTCTGTAGGTTAATCGAGGAGGTGTTACATTAATTTTACTTGATTATTTGGGACTTTATATCCTCGTTTGTATAAAATAACAATATTATTATTTCAATGTATGTGTAGTAGGACAAATCAAATAATTAGTCCCATAAAATTTAGTGTTGAGAAATTCAAAAAAGAAGTGAAAAAAAACCTATGTCTATGATTCTCTTACCTATATCATCCTAAGGAAAATAAGGAAAATATTTTTGCATTTTTATGTTGAGAACGGGAGCAGATTCGTTCCCAATTCGTCTAAAGATGAGTAAAAATTCGATATTTTTTCAATATATATTTCTTCTCCTCAAACATATTTCCAAACAAAGTATTACTGACAAGCTATTAGATTTTTCTTTTAGGCTCCCTGATAGGAAAATTTGTTAAACGCAGTGACATTTTGGGACAGATCATCTGATTTGTCCTTCTACACATATATTGAAATAATACTCATATTTTTATTTCATAGACACGAGGAGAGAAAATCCCAAATAATCAAGTAAAATGATTGAAAATCTCAATTATTTTCAAATGAAAACACCCTTTTTTCCATAATTCAATTCTCTCATGAAAATGGGCCCTAGTTCTAATCGACATCGCGTTAACGCATAAAGATATACCCTGTATATTCTTACCTGCCCCCTTTCTTGTAATAACATCCCATTTCTCAGGAGTTGTCACTAGCATTTGGGTCTCGGCCACTTCTTTTTTCCCTAATTGCATATCGCCTGTCCATTCTTTCACAGTGATGCCAATAGGTGCTAGTTTTTTTGAAAAATTGCTGACCATTTCGGTGGCTAGGGCTTTCATAGGACACACGTAGACTATCTGAAGGACAAGTTCGTTTGGAGGTAAGTGCAAATTAGAATTTGTTATGATATGGAAAAGATGAAAACGAATGAGAAGGCCTCGAAAGTATAAGAACTCTCACATTTCGAATAAGTAAATCTTTTGATAAGGTACCTATTAATTAACTGTTTCACAATATTGAAAATTATTGATATCATCGATTTATGCTTTAGAGAGAACGTTTATCATTTCGGATTTTCCTGGCGATTCTGAAATTCAAACTGAATTTTAGTCAACAGGTAATTTTATATTTTCTTCATTAATAGATATTTCTCATTTTATTTTTCTCAATAAGACATAGATTCATCATCTTGCAGTGAATTCCAGTAAGTGCAAATTTTCGCCACCAGATCCTGAATAATTCATTCATATGTCTTGGTGGAACTGAATACACAAGGCTAAAATATGATGATCTAGCCCAATTCCAAAAATTGATGTTTACCGAATTACTGGGTTTTAAACTTTCTTGCAAATATTTGCATGAGATTTCTGAGGATCTGTAGAATGAGAAATTGATTGGGAATTATCACAGTTTTGATATACAGGGTGATCCACCACAAGATCTCACCCTGTAATTTCCTAGTTTATAAAGATATTTGAAAACTTCAGGACCTTATTCGATCATCCTCACTAATGAAAAATTGAACAAGGGAAATGAAAGGAAAACTCTTAATAGTCATGCTTTTGGGTGTATGATGAATTGACATTCATCATACAGGGCGTGGAAATGAATTCTGAATTGAGACTCTATCACGAATCTGCGATTAGAGGTCTATAAAAATCACAAGTTCCCATCGTTCAAGTTTGAACCCCCTGATTGGGTATAAAAGTGTTGAAAAGGAATATTCTCAAATAAATTATGAACATACAAAAATGGATATATATTTATATAAAGCAATACATTGAGAATTCGCATTCTCTATGTGATGAGAATATTTACTCTTTTTCATATAGCCAGGAAAGTAGTTGTTTTCTATTGAATTAACTGAAAAAGAGTAAATATTCTCATCACATAGAGAATGCGAATTCTCAATGTATTGCTTTATATAAATATATATATCCATTTTTGTATGTTCATAATTTATCTGAGAATATTCCTTTTCAACACTTAATAGTCATCTTCTTAAATGAATAATCTGCAATAACATTGTTCATTTCAGATACTTTTTTATAACATAGCATGATACTTGAGCCGGTTGACCCGGATACCCCCCAACAACTCTTTTCCCCTGTCAATGAAGATCCATCATTGTTTACTATTTCCCCATTTTTTGACTACTGAAATGATTCGTAATTATCCTCTACATTCGATTTTTCATCATCTAAAACCTCTCAGTGCCAAACTGCTGTTTCAAGTTACGAAAAATCCAGTAGTCCATTTTTAATATCGCTCCATATGTTTTTTTGAAGTGCTGAATCCGAATCTGAGGTTATCCACCAAATTTTTCTTGTGCGTTTTGGGATATTAACAAAAAACTGTATTTGCACTTTCTTGATTTCCATTTCAAAGTACTTATGGGAGTTTAAAAAACAAGTTGACGTTACACATAATGTAAATAACAGCCATTACTGCGGGTTAGCTCAATATTTTTTATGAATCTCGCTCCTAAGGCGGAAGTTGCAACAACGTTGGCGCTTGCAATGACAACTTCAAAATTCGCACGTCATCTTCTCACACCTATTGTTTCGAAATTTAGTGCAGTTGGAAGTTTTGTGCCGTTTTTTAACTTAAATTCTGACATCCACTGCTGGAACCATAGACAGCTGACAATAGAATAGAAGTTGCAAGATGGTTTATTATTCTTCAGGAACATGAAAGGAGATACCTTCTCATAGGTAAGAAGATTTCATGATTTTTATAGGATTAACAGTTAATATATCGAAGACTGGAACCTTTGGCACGATAATACACTACACTGTTTTACCACTAACCAAACCGATTTTTTAACGCCTCGACACGTGTTTCGCTAACTATGTCAGCATCTTCAGGAGAAGATTGATACTGAAGATGCTAACATAGTTAGGGAAACACGTGTCGAGGCGTTAAAAAATCGGTTTGGTTAGTGGTAAAACAGTGTAGTGTATTAACAGTTAATGTTTCAATTTTTCTAGAGACCATCTGCTAAGACGCAGTGGATTGACTTCTATAGGTTAGAAAGATGTGAATCTTTTGCATATTATTATACCATCTCATTCTGGATGATTTTATGGACACGAGAGCTGAGAGAGGTCTTAGAGTGTTTTTCATGTATATTAGCGACTTTTAGTTGACTTTCTTTTTCTATAAATAGTGTTTCCATTCACACTGATCGCTTTTATTTTACTATATTCAAATCAAATTATTCTTTGACGTTTTCAATGAATCACCTACAATGTTACATGAACTTTGCAATAATTTTTCGAAAATTCACATATTCGATTTTTCATTAGTTAAGTTGAGTGATTGCAGCTATAGAAAACCAAAATTCCCGACTAATAAAAAAAAATCTAACACCTAACACCTATCCTCCCTAAGTACGCAAGATGGTCCACGAACATTATAGGAATTTCCTTTCGTGAGCTCCAGGAGTTAAAAAATAAACAAAAAACTGTGCTATGCTGACATGCGCAGTAACGATTTGAAAGAGGTCGTTGACTACTTTCTATGTATGTTAGCGACATATAGTCAATTTTCTTTTTCAATAAATAGTGCTGTCATTCACCCTGATAGCTTCCATTTCACTGTATTCAAATCAAATTATTCTTCAACATGTTCTCAATGAATTACCTACAACATGACATGAAATTTGCAATAATCTTTCGAAAATGAGATCCATAACTACCTCAGTCCTCAGTGCTCTTATTAATGATCCCAAAATCCACATATTTGTTTTTTATTCTGTAAAATAGAGTGATTCCAGACATACGATTTCAATATTCCCGTGTTATTCAACTGTGAAATGCTAACAAGCGCTTTAAAAATCTTGAACTCTCTGAGAGATGCAAATATACTACCCTCTTTGTTTAATGTTGGCGTACTTTCCACATTGTTTATATAGGCGATTAGCAATCTATTTCAGCAAAGCGAAATCTTGAATGGTCTAAGAAGTTAACATACCTTGAAGTCATTCTTTCTTATAAGGCTTCCCTCCATATGACCTCTTATCTGATGTACTATAGCCAAAAGTGCAATGTTCGTCTTTCCAGCGCCTGTAGGAGCGCAAACCAACATATTTTCATTGGAATGATAGGCAACGGGAAACACTTCAGACTGAATCCTGTTGAATTTCTTCAAATCTCTGAAAACCAACTGACCTGTGGGGTCTAGAGATGACACTTTAACAAGTTCCATGTCGTCAATTTCACTTTTTTTACCACCCGGTATAGTGAATTCTGCATAGTCTGCTGTAACTTTCTTTACTGCGTTTTCAGGCTGGCAAATAGATACACCATCATATTTAGCTATAAAATAGGATTATTTTCAAAATGTTCAACAAAATTTATGTATTGCACATTACTGGTAATCATGTGATCCCTGAGTTGGTCGTGAACATGCGGATATTCCAGAGGATCTAATCTTTGTGGTGCAGCCTTCTTGAAAATAGGGGTAGATTTTGCTACTTCATATTCAATTTCAGTTCTAAAAGATAGACCTATTGAGAAATAGCCAAAAATAGACTACTGACAACTTGAAACATATATTGCGAACTTGTCGAATATATCTCCTAAAACTAAGTAATATGGCAACACGGTATGTAAAAAACGTCAATGAGAAGGCACACTTTTCGTGTACAACTTTTCCACGTTTCAACAAAACTTGAGGAACTGTAAAGAAATATATGCAGCAAACAGTCTATCAGTCTATCAGAGCAACACAAAATTGCGAAAAATAGAAAGTGATGTTAAACGTTGAAAATCTCAAATTTTTCAAATAGTAAGCCCATATTTTTCCATATAATTCAGTTCTATTATAAAAATAAGCCATAGTTTTTAACAAGTTCCTTATTCGCCATATAAAATAACACGTCGCCTTACCTGACGGCAACACTTCTAAGCAGTTTATTTTGGTGAAAACATAATAAACATGTCGCTTTGACAGCTTTCAAGAACTCCGATAGGTGGCGTACTCTTATCTTCTATCGCGAATACCCAAAATCCGTTATTTCCAAGATATTCTGCATAGCTGCCTGAATTTTTGGAGTTTTTTAGTGCAGAATATCGATCGAAAAATGAACTAAAGTTGTTTATGATATACAAAAGTACGATATGAACAACACCTAGAAATCCTAAGGCATGTCAATACAGATTTTTTGGGACAGCTGACCTAGCAAAAAGTGGTATCAACATAATGGAGCAGCACCACATAATAGGCAGATAGTAAAAACCTTTAAGATGCAAGGACCAAAGGTTTGGAACCGACGGTGGTCGAGAGCGTTAAGGGGCTGAGTTCGTATGGGGACTCCCACCGAGACCTAGGTTTGGGCGTTTGGTCCCAGTGCTGGGACTAACGAGGTATGCAATTGCAAAAAAAAAACTATGACAACCTCGATTTTTTTAAAGCAATATATCATAATCAGGATTTGATTACAATGTTGTAAAAATACATACAATACTTCTACACATTTTTCAACTTTTATAATCTATACATTGCATAGTCCTAATTCAAGAAATCCCCTAATCAGTATAGAATACTGGTAACGGGGAATATAAATAATAAGTAATACATTCTGTTCTATATGTACATATAATGGAAATAACAAAGTAATTTATAGAATTAATATTGATTTTTTCGGTACTTTCTAATTTCCTTAACAAATAACTTTTCATTTGGTATTTCCTCTAATGCTTGTGGTATTGAATTATACAGTATGATGCAAATGTATGGAATAAATTCATTATTTCAGAAATGGGCGACATTTCAAAAAATTCCAAAATCACGTGAGGTTAAATTTTTGAAGCCTCTTCTCATGATATCCATATGAGAGATGTTACGTCACCGGTGTTGGAGTAATGACGTAATGAACGATTTTTTCAAATGAAAACAGGGGTCACGTGACACCTCGTTTGAAAGGTCTACTGATAGTCTATTCAACAGTCAAAATTTTGCATAAAAAAATTGAAATTAAAATGGATTATCATTTGATTAACTAAATCTTGCAGAGGTCTGCTACTGAGAATTGAACAACGAAGGGTCGTCTATTTTAAAAAATACATCAATTAATAAAGTTCTAAAGTCTAGTTTTTGGATTTTTTTCAGAAGTCGTCTTGTTTTGAAATGCATTTATTCCATACATTTGCATCATACTGTATACATGTATGCACCTAATCCTATATTCAGTGCAACATTTGTTTGAATATTTGGATGGTATATGTCATTTTGATTTCTCTTGTTATGGTTATATACAGGGTCGCTGATATGTATGGAAACAGGTGAATATCTCGGCAATCTGTTGTTAGATTTTTTTGAATTTATGTACAGTGTGATTTCAAAACGTGGCGAATTTGAAAATGTTATAGCCTCTGTTGCCACTTTTTCAGTTATTCCGGATTTTCAGTAACTTCCTTATTTTGAATGAAACACCCTGTACTTTATTGGATTTCCAGATTCTCCTTGAAGAGCTGATTCCATCGATCTATCACACTTGGGGTCGAGCGGCAATGATTACATAGGTATAGGGTGTTTAAAATCTAGGTTTTTCAACTTCAAGATTTTTTTGTGTAGAAACTATCCATTATCGATCAAAACCGCTTCAATGTTCCTATCTTCACTTTTGATTCACCATCTACTGACTATTTAATTGGAACAAATACAGAGGGTGATCAGAATTCTGAATCTTGAACCACCCTGTATTTGTTTCAATTAAATGTCAGTGGATAGTAAATCAGAAGTAAAGATGTAAACATTGAAGCGGTTTTGATCGATAATGAATAGTTTCGACACAAAAAAATACTTAAGTTGAAAAATCTAGATTTTAAACACCCTATACCTATGTATTCATTCCAGCTAGACCCCATGTGTGATAGATCGATGGAATTAGCTCTTCAGGAAGAATCTGAGAATCCAATGAATTGCAGGGTGTTCTATTCAAAATAAGGAAGTTAATAAAAAATCCGGTATAGCTGAAAAAGTGGCAACATTGGCTATAACATTTTCAAATCTGCCACGTTTTGAAATCACACAGTACATAAATTCAAAAAAATCCAACAACAGGTGACCGATATATTCACCTGTTTCCATACATATCAGCGACCCTGTATTTCATTGAGGTTCAAGAAATTTATATTTGTTTTTTGTTTACGATTCATTATTTTGTATGTGTGTTTACATTGCTCTAAACTTAAGATTTCATTCAGTTTGTTTAATTTTGATATTTCGTATACAGTATTCGTTGGCGTTAAGTATTTGGTAGAGAATAATATTTTAAAAACCCTGTTTTGTTTTCCCAATTTAACTCCACTGGATTCTTTCAATTGTCATTATATAGAAAAAATATATATTTTTTTTTATATGCCAACAACGACAGAACAGAAAATGCGCACAGCCTTTAACTCTATACCAAATGAAATGATTAGACAATCTGTAGGAGAAGACACACGATTTTGTGAGAAATGATTAGAATTTGAAGGCACTGTGTTTGAATATTAGTACACTTGTCTCTATAACGATTTTATCGAATTCACCATGAATCACTAATACATTAACGAATTCTTCATTTTTAAACCAAACATGAGCCATCTCTGATAGTGAATAAATGCAATCCATTTGTGGATAGATATTTTTATAGCCTACTGGAAAAATCCAAACATTCAGGCAGTTATTGAGCAGAATTGAATACTTTTAATGGAATATCTCCGAAATGATTGGTTTTGGGTATAGGGAAGTTGATCAGAAATAGGGCTCATTTTTATAAAGGAATGGAATCATGGAAAGAAAAAATGGGGTTTGCATTTGAAAAAATACTTTCTGTACCCACTTTTTTTCGAACCCTGTGAATTATTCAGTATTTGTGATTATGATAAATGATCTGTCCGACCTTCAATATTCATGTTTTAATCAATGCATATCATAAAGAATTGAATTGTAATTCACATGGAAATTGCGTATATTGGATAGGCTGCATTAGTCACTGGATGGTATTAGATAAGAGTTCGAACACAGAAATGACAACTGTTAGTGTTTTTGAATGTTTAGATTTATTGGGTTACACACATTGCATTGTGACAATAGCACAAGTCGTGAATGAAAATGTCCTGCTGTGTAATTAATTGTGGTGAAAGGTACATCATTGAATAGCGTTTTCAATACCGACCGAACTATACCTATAAGTATATCCATATGTTTCTATTTTGTCATATTAAAATGTTACACACATTTTTTTCTGACATCTTATCTGACAATCACGCGCAATTAGGGTAATTCGCGATAGAAAATAACACGTCGCCCCAGCTGACGACAACAACTTGAACACTTCTGAGCGGTTTGTTTTGATGATATGACCAATAAGCACAAACAAAAAACAAATGTGAACCAATGAAAACAAAGTAAACATGCCGCTCTGACAGCTTCCAAGAACTCCGATAGGTGGCGTACGCTTATTTTCTATCGCGAATTGATAAGACAAACAGTGATATAAATATATATGGGTGTTTTAGGAAACTTACTCTGGGTTGTTGACTCGATCCAAAGAGATCACATGACAAAAAAGTCGGATCACCTACTCGTGTTCAACGTTAACAAACGTGTCAGGTTAGGAACACAGAATTTGATCTTTTTTCTGTGATTTTGTGAATCCGATAGATGAAAATGTTCACATTATATTCAAGTACTTATTTGATATGGTCACAAATATTTATATTTACCTGGTGATTGGCGAACTTGTCTCATTCACCTATTGTACTGTTCATCATATCTTTGTAATTCACTATGAAAGTCAACTTGTTCTTCTTATCTCCAATACTGGGCCTGAATACCAAATCTCGTTTTTAAACACAAATAATTTTTTTTTTTTAGATTTTTATTCAGACTAAGAACTTGAGAAATTCATTGTATTTTATTTATTCATTTTTTTTTGCTTTTGGGTGTATGATAAATTGACATTCATCATACAGGGCGTGGAAAGAAATTCTGAATTGAGACTCTATCACGAATCTGCGATTAGAGGTCTATAAAAATCACAAGTTTCCATCGTTCAAGTTTGAACCCCCTGATTGGGTATGAAAGTGTTGAAAAGAAATATTCTCAGATAAATTATGGACATACAAAAATGGATATATATTTATATGAAGCAATACATTGAGAATTCGCATTCTCTATGTCTACTTTCCTGGTTATATGCCACGACGAACATTGAATTATATCTATTGAACACACACGATAAAAGTTTGATAATAAAATATAAAAACTTCTGAAATTGAGAATTTGTATTCTCCTTCAGACGAAAATATGTATATGCACACATCATTCTGAATATTCAACAGAAAACAACTACTTTCCTGGCTATTTGCAACGTCGAACATTGAATTATATCTGATGAACATTCAAAAGGAGAACATGAAAAATAAAAAATTAAATCCTCCGAAATTGAGAATTGAAATTCTTCTTCAAATCGGATGAATAATATGATGTATACAGGGTGCGGCACCGAAAACGAAACAGAGGCTCTGTAGGTCGCCAAAACCGGATTATAAAAAAAATCTGAAACACGTCAACTATATTTTCGAGGGGGACATCGTTCTAAAATATTTTCAGCCCTGCGGCGTTGCCGCTTCTAGAGAAAAGAAGCAACAACTTTGTTATTTCAAATGGAACACCATGTATTTTATTGTATTTTTAGATTCTCCCCGAAGAGCTGATTTCATCAATGTATCACACTTGGGGTCCAGCTGTAATGGTTTCAGGGATATAAAGTGTTCAAAATCGAGATTTTTCAACTTTAGCATTTTTTTGTGTCGAAACTATTCATTATTGGTCCAAACGGCTTTCATGTCCCTATCTCAACTTGTGATTTACTATCTACTAACATTTAATTGGAACAGATACAGGGTGATCAGAATTCTGAATCTTGAACCACCCTGTATTTGTTTCAAATAAATGTCAGTAGATAGTAAATCACAAGTTGAGATAGGGACATGAATGCCGTTTTGACCAATAATGAATAGTTTCGACACAAAAAAAATGCTAAAGTTGAAAAATCTCGATTTTGAACACTTTATATCCCTGAAACCATTACAGCTGGACCCCAAGTGTGATACATTGATGAAATCAGCTCTTCGGGGAGAATCTAAAAATACAATAAAATACATGGTGTTCCATTTGAAATAACAAAGTTGTTGCTTCTTTTCTCTAGAAGCGGCAACGCCGCAGGGCTGAAAATATTTTAGAACGATGTCCCCCTCGAAAATATAGTTGACGTGTTTCAGATTTTTTTTATAATCCGGTTTTGGCGACCTACAGAGCCTCTGTTTCGTTTTCGGTGCCGCACCCTGTATATATATAACCTGTGTGTGAGCGATAATATTTCCCATATCACTGATATTTTTGGAAGTTTTCAAACTCATCAAGATCAGAGTTTATGCCAGTATACTTCTCCTATACATTCCAATTTTCATTTCAATGATGAATATAGTGGTTAGTTATATTTCTATATCATTATACATCATATTATTCATCCGATTTGAACAAGAATTTCAATTCTCAATTTCGGAGGATTTTATTTTTTAATTTTCATGTTCTCCTTTTGAATGTTCATCAGATATAATTCAATGTTCGACGTGGCAAATAGCCAGGATAGTAGTTATTTTCTGTTGAATATTCAGAATGATGTGTGCATATACATATTTTCGTCTGAAGGAGAATACAAATTCTCAATTTCAGAAGTTTTTATATTTTATTTTCAAACTCCTATCGTGTGTGTTCAATAGATATAATTGAATGTTCGTCGTGGCATATAGCAAGGAAAGTAGTCGTTTTCTATTGAATAAACTGAAAAAGAGTAGATATTCTCATCACATAGAGAATGTGAATTCTCAATGTATTGATTCATATGAATATATATCCATTTTTGTATGTCCATAATTTATCTGAGAATATTCCTTTTCAACATTGTATTTTATATGTAAAATTGTAAAAACACTAGCTGTTATGTGAACAAACTATTGGTACACGAACAAATTGAACAAATTCATAGTGTACCACCATGGAAATGTAAAACGAACTGTTTTCAACTTGGTAATAAATAAATTTCAAGTTTCATATGTTGTCGCACATTACTTTCTTGCCTCATAAAACCACAAACTACACACCTATCCAAATTGTCTTCTCTATGCATTATACTAAATCAAATTATGGAGATTAAAAATAAAATTTATATCACCGATCGAAATGTTTACCAACATGCAAACTATTTTATTATTTTATTGTAAACTCCCACGTTTTTCGATTGACTAACAACACTCAAGTTTCCAAACAGAGATAGGGGAGTCGGTTTAGGTAACCAAACGTTCAGGTTAGAGATCCGATCAATCCGAATAAGTTTCCGAAAACACCTTATGTCTCATTCTTTTATTCACTCAAACCACTCTAATATAGGAAATAGAAAAGGACAGGAGTTCAGTGTCGGAACTCTTATCTGACTAATACCATCCAGTGACTTTATTTTTATCGAAACAAGCATGAACATGCTTATCGATTATCGCATCATTTATACTATAGTCACACTATATACCATATTATTATATTATATTGAGTTGTTTCTTGTATAGATCAATAAATGATATTATTATTATTATTATTATTATTATTACTTTACGCTGCATTTGTAACTTTTTCTAGAAAAACTGGAATACCTCAAAAAACTTCATTTTAGGTATAGGATATGAGGTATGAATTTGAATCGAATTGAAAGAAAAATTTGAGAAGGTTATAAAATATAGGGTATCCAATTGAAAATATCAAAAATGACTTCACTTCCGGACAAATCCGGAAGCTTCAGAGTAACTAAAATATTTTTTCTGCAACCGACACAAAAGTCGTCCATTTTGATACCAAAATTAGCTCTTAAATTGACGTTTCTATTACTGACACAAAATAGGTATGTTGCTAGGCAACATATCTAGTTCCTAGGAGCTAAAGTTGAATTTTAGTTCCTAGGAGCTAAAGTTGAACTTTAGCTCCTAGGATCTAAAAAGGATGTACTGGACGTCATCAAGAATAAACAACATTTTCACGGTTGGTTATTTGGGTTGAGACGCATACCTGATTTGTTTCCGATTTCAGCAGATTTGGCATTTCATACCCATGCTGGAGATATAAATACACCCTATTATAGTTTAGTATTGGAATTATAAACATCTCAGTTGAGTATTTTTGTTTTGATCAGGGAAGCCTTCAAGATTCAAATACTTGATTGATCTGTATTTCATTCGTTATTCTCGGGATGGATAACTTGTTTTTGAATAATCTCGGCAAGCAACAGTTTTTTGTCTCAAACAACGATATTGTTCAGCTTCATTTGATTATCAAGTCAAACATAGTGTAGCATGGAGAGGAATAAATAATCACTATTATTATTGTTGATATGTTCACTATCCTAACATTTTCCACGATTCCACGTCTTGTTCCTATAGGTGGCACTGGCGCGGTATTTGCCATTAGAGCACCTGGTCTATACACAAATATGTCACTCTTTGGTTGTTTTTATATTGGAACTACAATCCGAACATCCTTGAAAACCTAACCTGCTGTTAATGCAGCTATAATATTCTCACCACATGGATTATTTGTCAATATTTGTTGCATTGCATACATATGGCATGTAATTGGTGGTTACTTCACATGTTTATTTGAGTTGATTGTTTCGGTTGCAGAAAAAATAGCATGTTTCATTCGGATCAAAAGTGACTTTGTTCGACTCGCAAATTTTGCTTTCGCTCGGCTTCGCTAAACGCTCCGCCTCGCAAATGCAAAATTCGCTTGTCAAACAAAGTGTCACTTTTGATCCTAATAAAACAATCTACTATTAGTTGAATTCTCCATAATTCCTTCACCGTCCCTACATATTCTCATAATCATCCTAATTTTAGTTCTCCTACATAGATTGCGTTAACTCACGAAGATATACCCTTAGTTTTCTTCGTGAATGGTTTGTTAGTTGGCCTAGTGCAACTGATGAGACTTGGCAAGTTGAAACAGTATATCTTGCATCAGCTGACAATCTATGCACAGAAATCTTCTAAAATCTGTTCTGTCTTGAGATTCAAGGTTCCTCATCTGAATTAGACTTCGTATTACTACCACTACTATATCTTACTGTCTTATATCAGTAGACGAGAATTTGGACTTGTCTTTCTTTTCCATCTTTCTCAGTTTTTTCGAAAGAATGCTCTCTTTTTCGGATTGAACAGTCACTTGACCAGCAACAATTCCAGCAGGGTTCTGTTTGTTTCCAGTCCTATCGCCTTCTGAAAAGTGGATTAAGAAAATAGAAGTAAGTTTTAAATACCAGTGCATTTCTTCAACAGCCTTTCTCAGATAATAAATCTAGGTCAAAGATTGGTGACTAGTTGCAACAAAAGAGAACGAGATGAAGATCTATGAATTCATTGTTTCCAAGCGTGAACACTGAGAATATAAAGTTGTCAATGGGTAAGAGAAAAGTTATTTCTAAAAAAATACTATGACATTCATGACCATGAAAAAATGCACAGAAATTCTTCTTCAATTTTTTATTTCTACAAGATTTTCAAAATAAATTCTCAAAGAAATGCTTAAATGCTAACAACATGATGGAAAATCATCAGCGGTACTGACTTCACATGTACTACAAAGCGCCGACCGAGTGAGATAAACAGCGATGTCTTTAGCTAGTGTGAATAGTATAACATTATTCGCTGCAAGATTTAACTGATTTTAATAGTGTGATGGATGAACTGAGCAAGACAGTTTAAAACTCACTTGTTCTTGTTTTTTTTATATAAACTGGATTCTGGCATATTATGACATAGATATCAGACGCTAGAGTGAGTAAGTATGTTAATAAGTAAGTAAGTAAGTAAGTAAGTAAGTAAGTAAGTAAGTAAGTAAGTAAGTAAGTAAGTAAGTAAGTAAGTAAGTAAGTAAGTAAGTAAGTAAGTAAGTAAGTAAGTAAGTAAGTAAGTAAGTAAGTAAGTAAGTAAGTAAGTAAGTAAGTAAGTAAGTAAGTAAGTAAGTAAGTAAGTAAGTAAGTAAGTAAGTAAGTAAGTAAGTAAGTAAGTAAGTAAGTAAGTAAGTAAGTAAGTAAGTAAGTAAGTAAGTAAGTAAGTAAGTAAGTAAGTAAGTAAGTAAGTAAGTAAGTAAGTAAGTAAGTAAGTAAGTAAGTAAGTAAGTAAGTAAGTAAGTAAGTAAGTAAGTAAGTAAGTAAGTAAGTAAGTAAGTAAGTAAGTAAGTAAGTAAGTAAGTAAGTAAGTAAGTAAGTAAGTAAGTAAGTAAGTAAGTAAGTAAGTAAGTAAGTAAGTAAGTAAGTAAGTAAGTGAGTAAGTAAGTAAGTAAGTAAGTAAGTAAGTAAGTAAGTAAGTAAGTAAGTAAGTAAGTAAGTAAGTAAATAAGTAGGTAAGTGAGTAAGAAAGATTATTTTTTTTAGGACTTGCACAACTAGTCTAGTTGTCAGTTCAAAATAAAAACACGGTAATACAATTATATTTTCTTTTTTATGTTCTAGAAATAGATACCTTCGCTCTCTTGATACCTATATGAATAGCTATTATGCAATGATTATTTTCACTCCTAGGGATTGTCGCCCTCTTTCTTCAAACCAGAGAGTCGTGTGACAATCTTCAGTAGCAGTAAAAAGTACCACTTGTCTCACTGATTACCTAAGTAAGTATTATCAAGTACTTACCATACACTGGTGAACTATAGTCAATTCGTTTATCACGATGTCTAATTATTTCTGTCAAAAAATCGATAGCCCCATAACCAAAGGTTTCTACAAAATATTCCATTACTTCTTCATCACTTTTGCTCGAGTTCAGTTCAGTATTAACAATAGCCTTGAATTCTCTATAATTATAGCTGGGGATTGAATCCCTGTAGCATTCAAACATCGTCTCCAGTGGATAAGAAGACGATTCTGCATTGACAGTTGAATTATATTCTTTCTGTTTAACATAGAGTAATGAAAATTCGTCTTTTTTAGACCTTTCAGTTTCGACTATTTCTGGAAAGTCGTCTCTCATTGGTATATAAAACATTGGATCGATTGGTGTAAAACCTTCTCGAGGATCTTTTCTTTGATATTCAGAATATGACATTTTTGAAGTTCTTCTATAGAAATTATTTGGTAATTTATCTGCTAAATTCTGAAGAAACTGAAAATAGAAAAAGTATTCATGAAAATCACGAAAATAAAAATATGCCCAGAAGATACAAGAAATATTTAAAAATAACCATATGTATTAGGGATGTCAAATTCAGCACTTTAGCAAGCCTGAAAATTAAATAAACTAGACAGCGAATACTACAGAAAACCCCCCTCAAATAGAATGAAATATTATATATCCCATACCGAAACTGTCTGAAATAGTGAAGCTACCAATCCGATAGATGGCAATTAGATAGATAATGTCAAGTTTTCAAGTCAGCTGTCAGTGTTTTTGTGCCGCCTTTACTGCTTTTGTTATTGTTTGTGCACTTTTAATTTTTTCGTCAGATGGTGGGATCAGTTTCAGAAATGGATCAAAGAAATATTATGCAATTATATGGGTAATATTGCCTATGCCACTGCCACGCGGACGCCACTGCCACACGACTTTGCCTAGAACCAGCGACGACGTCTATGCTGACTTAGCACCGGCGTACGGGGCACGGAGGGGTGCCATGATTATGTTACTTGTAAACTTATGTAAAACATGATGTTAGAAATGTACTTCACTTGTTAATTTACCATCTGACAGACAAGTCAATTAAAACTGAATCAAGAATTCTGGCTTTTATCTAGACACCACCCTGTATTATTGAGCTCCCCCAAGAGTAGGCGTGACAAATTGGTGGAAGCGCCGGCAGTTCCGTGTAAATCAAAGTGAAAATTAACTAAATTTAACGTTCGGACTTTGAATCGAAAACTGTGAGAAGTGATTGATGTTAACCAGGCTCAAGACCAGAAGCATCCAGGAAAAATCCGAGGAAGAACAGCGAAATACAGTGAATGAAACTACATCAGACTCGTAAGGAAGTTCAGATTCTTCAATTTATTCGCAGACTAGAGAAGAAGAGGATCGTGAGCAAGAAACTCCAGACATGCCAAACACTCCGGAAGAAGTCTACACCTCGGTGAACCGGAAAGTATTTGCCGGTAAGCCACATGAGAGTGTACAGAAATTTTTGAAAAATTTCAAGCGAGCTGCTAGGGCAAACAGGTGGTCGGACGAAACCAAACTGCTCCAACTACCCTGCTATTTGAAAGGACCAGCTTTAGAATTTTTCGAGACTTTCGAGGAAACTTGTACGACTTTCCAGGAAGCATCTGAAAAGCTAGCTACAACGTTTGAAAATGTAACGGAAACGGAACAATGCTATTTCAAGCTACTGAACAGGAAGCAGCAACCAGGAGAAGACATCTGGTTATACTTCAACGAGATCACCAAACTTTGCTATAAAGTTAATGGTGCGATGACGGACAACGAGAAGATTGGACTTATCTTGAGAGGCCTTAGACCAAGCATACTGGAGAAGGTGAACTTAATGGATTGAAGTAACGCAGTTTATGGTTGGAGCCAGCGATGGATCAGTAAGCAGGACACCCACATTACGAAACGAGAGCCAGGACCATCGCAACAGGACAAGAGCGGAGCAGGAAGTAGAGGACCTCAGGAGACGGATCCAACAACTAGAGGGAAACTGTCAGCAAAACAGGTCAGTTTCGCACCAATTTTATAGGAATAATATCAACGGGTTCAGAAATAGTTATGATCAGTTAAAAATCAAGAAAGAACCACGCACGCCAGAGGGGCGCATTGTGTGCTTCAAATGTAACAGAACAGGGCGTTATGCTCGAAATTGTCCAAAAAACTAGTGGTCCAGCCACTAAATTCAAATAGTGGCTGTAACCAGAGCAAAATTATTCAAAATTTATTGATCTCATGTTTTTATTGTAATAAAATAGGTCACAAACGAGCGACGTGTCGATTTTTCAAAAGAAATTTGAATTGTTGTGAAGACAAGTCAATTAAAACTGAATCAAGAATTCTGGCTTTTATCTAGACACCACCCTGTATTATTGAGCTCCCCCAAGAGTAGGCGTGACAATATCTTCGATTTGATTTAATAAATTCATGAAGTGACAATAATGTGGAAATGCGGTGAAATGAAACATGTTGATTAGTGAAATTCTAGATGTCATTGCTTTGATAAATAGAAATACCTATGTTGTCATTGGACTTCACATCGGATGAATTGAAGGAGTTACTGGAATCATGTTTGTTCTCTTTTGAATCATAGTAGTTATCAAATCATAATAATCTCATTTCAGGAAGAATACAAAGCAAAATGTCGATGAAGTTCATTATTAACAGTCTTTCTTTCCTTATTGTACTGTAGTAACATGAAAGAATGACGTTTGTACTTCATCGATTTTGTGCCATGTATTCCTCCAGGAATGATACTACAAAGTCAACCAATGACATTTTGAAATTGCCAACACGTCTGTCAATGGTCGGATTAGTTCGGCTTCCTGGCGCTGATGTCGTTGTTCTAGACGTCACTATGGGAGATTGCATTCTATTTGAGAGGGGTTTCCTATGGCAAATACGATTTGTAGTGAAAAGGTTGTGTACAGAAAAGAGAAGATCTAGGGAAGACAAAAGATTGACAGCAAAAATCAAGGTATTTATAAATAAATTCCCGCATCCCACGAGGATTTATTTTGGCACCAACATTGTTCCCACTCTATATCAATGATCTACCTGCCATATCCACAGCTTCGCAAACGACAGTACTCTCAAAACTGTGTTTTCTTACAGCGAGTGGAGTAATTTTTTCATTTTTTAAATAGAATCATCAGTCAAATACCTTTCAATATCATATTTTTCGGTCAATTTTCAGGTGCTGAAATCATCAATAATGCCACGGTAATTTTCAAACGGCTAGAAATTTACCGCCAGTAAAAACTGACGCCACGATTTCGTAAGTAGGGGCAGACCATAGCACAGTTGCCTTTCGTTGAAATACGATTGGGAACTTCAGAAATATTAGTTATTCAATAACTCATAAATTCTCAATTGAGGATTGGTAATATTCCTAATTAGCAATGAAAATGCAATTGACTCAAAATGTTTCCTTATGATTTGTGGCATATTGCTTATAATAAAGGACCCCGCACGAAAACACGGTAAATTGGCTCTCGAATTGGCTGAAATTTTACTACGTTATTGTGGGATGGCTCATTAGAAGAATATGTGAGTTCAAAAAGTTTTGTATGTTTAGTTTCTGAGATATAAGCCGACAAAGTTCGTAAAAACGTCGTATCGGGGTAAGATTGACGAAGAAAAAAACTGTTTCTTTAGTATAAATGATCGGAACTCAAATACATGTCTAGTTATGATCACATAAACTATAGTAAATCAGGGTGAATACGAGGCACGGTCAAAAAATTCATTTTTCGGAAAAAAAGTTCGAGCACTATTCCAAAACCAACAAGTTAAATTTTGGTGAGACATTGTAGTTTTAGTCTATTGTAGGCTTCGAAAACGTATTTTCATTCTTCATAACTATCTCTGTTCGAAATATGAATTCTTTGAATTTTGTGTTATACCCCTTTTGGAAATCAATTATTGACAGCTTGTTTTTGATCTCAAAAAAGGGATTGATTGATACTGTTGATTGAATGAAAGGTGAGGTAACTCACTAGCGAATTCAGTTGTTCAATATTGCCTTTCATTCAGATACAGGGTGTGTTAGATTTTGTTGAAGATTATTTAACATGTTTCAATTAAATATCTCGAAAACAGTTCCGTTAATTCTGATCTCATTTTTCTCACACTATTTTGAATATGTTGACTATCATATGACCGAATGACGGATAGAACAAATTTTAGAACAAATTTTAGAACAAATATGCAAAAAGTTTTTCAATTTTTCATGTTTTGTTTCTGAGATATCATTTTTTGATAGTAATATCCGAGGTAATAACCCTATAATACCTGTAATACTGTAAACTCAAAAATGCATATCTCAAAAACGAAACATAAAAAATTGAAAAACTTTTTGCATATGATAGTCAACATATTCAAAATAGTGTGAGTAAAATGAGATCCGAATTAACGTAACTGTTTTCGAGATATCCAATTGAGACATGTTAAATAATCTTCAACAAAATCTAACACACGCTGTATCTAAATGAAAGGCAATATTGAACAACTGAATTCGCTAGTGAGTTACCTCAGCTTTCATTCAATCAACAGTATCAATCAATCCCTTTCTTTGTGATCAAAAACAAGCTGTCAATTGTTTTCAAAAAGACGTATAACACTAAATTCTAAAAATTCATATTTCGAACAGAGATAGTTTTCAAGAATCAAAATACGTTTTCGAAGACTACAATAGACTAAAACTATAATATCCCACCAAAATATAACTTGTTGGTTTTGGAATAGTGCTCGAATTTTTTTTCCGGAAAATGAATTTTTTGACCGTGCCTCGTACACACCCTGATTTACTATAATTCATGTGAATATAACTAGACATGTTTATGAGTTTCGATCAATATATTTTCTAGCTTGTTTTGTTTCATTTATACTAAAAAAACTGTTTTTTTATTTGTCAATACTACCCCGATACTACGTTTTTACGAAATTTGTCGGCTTATATCTCAGAAACTAAACATACAAAACTTAAACTCACATATTTTTCTAATGAGCCATCCCACAATAACATAGTAAAATTTCAGCCAATTCGACCGAGAGCCAATTTACCGTGTTTTCGTGCGGGGTCCTTTGTTTAAATGAAAATTTTTTGCTCAAGTAGAAATCCAATAAAATCAGTTAATTTGTGAACATCTGATTGAACACAACCAATCAAATCAACATTGAACTGAAAACAGATCCCATGGTCTGTTTTCACTATATTATGTTGCTATGGATACATTATGTTTCATTTCGATTTTGACATATCAAATAATTAATATTTCAAAATGTCACGATTTGGCTGTAATACTGATGAGAATATCGATGAGATTATCGAATCAAATATCCCAAAGAATACTGTTTACAGTAAAAAATTTGTATGGAAAGCCTTTATGGACTTCTGCAATGTTAGAAAATATGAATTAGATGGAAATCGGACAGTTGGAATTGGCGTCGATTTTGAAGGATTG